TTGTGGCATTTGCTTTTTTTCGGCCTTCGGACGGCCCGAGATGGCCCAAGTGCCCCCAAAGATCGCCCAAGACGGCCACAAGAGGCTCCCAAGACTGCCCAAGAGGTCCCCAAAACGCTCAAGATGGCCTCCCAAGACGGCTCAAGAGCCCTTCAAGACGTCCTCCAAGAAGGCCCGAAAGGGTCAAAATGGCCTCCAGACGGCCAAGATGACCTTCAAGATGCCCACGTGTTCCCCGAAGGCTTTCCAAACCGATTGGGGCAACACATGGTCCGATAGCTTGGCAGGTCTGGCCTCAACGTTCGGCCACATAGGCACTTCAAAAAAGGCAGGGGGCGGCGGTGATTCGCCGTAGGCGTCTTCGATCCGCCGCCCCCTGTTGGCTTGCCACAGGAGTGCCTGGCGTGCTGGATCCTTTCGGTATTGGTTTTGGTTGTTTCCAAAACAACTCCCCCCGGGTCTTCGGCCCGTCCCGCCGGCCATCCGAAAGGGATCGCAATCCCTTTGGTGGAATAACCCCATGACGGCTCAAGATGGCCTTCAAGATGGCCACGTTGGCCCAAGATGCCCTCCAAGATGGTCCAAGATGGACTCCAAGTCCGCCAAAGATGGTCCAAGGCGGCCCAAGAGAGTCCAAGATACCTCCAAATTCGCCCAAGAAGCCTCCAAGACGGCCCAACACGACCCAAGAGGTCTCCAAGGTCCTCCAGGAGGGCCCGGAGAGGCCACAATCATTGGTTGTCCTTAGGTTTTGGAAGGATTTTGGCATTTGCTTCTTCTCTGCATTCCGACGGCTCAATACTGCCCAAGAGGCCCCCAAGATCGCCCCAAGATCGCCCACGAGGCCTCCAAGATGGCCCCATGACGGGCCAATACGCCCCCAAGACGGCCCCAAGAGGGCCCCAAGACGGGCCAAGAGGCCTCCAAGACGCCCAAGATGGCCGCCAAGACGGCTAAGATGGCCCCAAGATGCCTCCAAGACGGCCCAAGATGCACCCAAGACGGCCGGGGATGGCCTCAAGACGGCCTGGGATGGCCTCAAGATCGCTTCATTGATTTTCTCTAGGTGTTTGAAGGATGTTGGCATTTGGTTCGTTTCGGCATTCTGACGGCTCAAGACGGCCCAAGAGGCCCCGCAGATCGCCCACGACGCCTCCAAGATGGCCCCATGACGGCCCAAGAGCCCCCCAAGACGGTCCCAAGAGGTCCCCAAGAGGCCTCCAAGGCGGCCAACATGGCATCTAAGACTGCTAAAATGGCCCCAAGATGCCTCCAAGCAGGCCCAAGATGCACCCAAGACGGCCTGCAATGGCCTCTCAAGATAGCCCAAGACGGCCCAAGAGGACCCCAACAGGCCTCCGAGAAGGCCGAAAAGGCGTCCAGGAGGTCTTCCAGGAGGGCCCGAAGAGGCCACAATCATTGATTTGCCTTGGGTGTTTGAAAGATCTAATTTGCTTCCTCTCGGCATTCCGACGGCTCAAGACGGCGCAAGAGGCCCCCAAGATCGCCCAGGAGGCCTCCAAGATGGCCCCATGACGGCCCAAAAGGCCCCCAAGACGGCCCCCCAAGAGGGCCCCAAAACGGCCCAAGAGGAATCCAAGACGCCCAAGATGGCCTCTAAGAACCCCTGATATGCCCAAAAAGGGCCCCAAGACGACCCAGACAGGCCCCCAAGACGGCTTCCGACGGCGTCAGACAAGCCAGGAACGCCCTAAGATTGCCAAAGAGGCCCACAGGAAGCCCCCAGAGGACCCCAAAAACCCTTCAAGAGGCCTCCAGGAAGCTCCAAGGAGGCCCCAAGAATGGCCCGAGAAGCGCTCAAAAGGCCTCTTTCTCCTCCTCCTCCTCCTCCTCCTCCTCCTCCTCCTCCTCCTCCTCCTCCTCCTCCTCCTCCTCCCTCCTCCTCCTCCTCCTCCTCCTCTCCTCCTCCTCTCCTCCTCCTCCTCCTCCTCCTCCTCCTCCTCCTCCTCCTCCTCCTCCTCCTCCTCCTCCTCCTCCTCTCCTCCTCCTCCTCCTCTCCTCCTCCTCCTCCTCCTCCTCCTCCTCCTCCTCCTCCTCCTCTTTTTTCCTAATCCTCCCCCTCCTCCTCCTCCTTGCTCCCCCACGCGTTTCCCGAAGCCCGTCCCCCGGGGTCCCGAAGGTCCGGAAACCACCGCAAACCACCCCTACGTCTACAAAAAAATCCAAGACGCTTCAAGATGGCCTCTGAGATGGTCAGGTTGGCCCAAGATGGCCTCCAAGATGGCCCAAGATGGTCCAAGTTGTCCTCCAAGGCGGCCCAAGAGATTCCACGATGCCTGCAAGTTCGCCCAAGAAGTCTCCAAGACGGCCCAAGATGACTTTAAGATGTCCCAAGACTGCCCAAGAGGCCTCCAAGAGCTCCTCCAGGAAGGTTCGAAAGGGTCAAAATCATGGATTTCCCTTTGGTTTTTGAAAGATTCTCGCATTTTCTTCTTTTCAGCTCTCCGACGACCCAAAAGTGCCCAAGACATCCACAGCATCGCCCCAAGAGCGCCCAAGAGGCCTCCAAGATGGCCCCATGACAGCCCAAGAGGAAGACGGCCCACGAGGCCCCAAAGACGCCCAAGGTGGCCTCCAAGACGGCCAAGATGGCCTCAAGATGCCTCCAAAACGGCCAAGATGGCGTCCAATACGGCGAAGATGCCCCCAAGATGCACCCAAGACGGCCCAAGATGGCCCCGAGACAGCCTAAAACGGCCCAAAAGGCCTGCAAGAGGCCTCCAACGCGGCCCAAGAGCCCTCCAAGACGTTCTCCAGGAAGGCCCGGAAGAGTCAAAATCACGGATTTCCCTGAAATGTTTGAAAAGTTGTGGCATTTTGTTCTTTTGAGCTCTCCGACGACCCAAGACAGACCCAACTTTCGGCCATGCAGGCGCTTCCAAGAAGGCAGGGGGCGGCGGTGATTCGCTGTAGGCGTCTTCGATCCGCCGCCCCCTGTTGATTCATCACTGGGGTGCCCGGCGTGCTAGACCTTTTCGCTTTGCTTTGGGTTCTTTTCCAAAAGAACTCCCCCTGGGGTTTCGCCCGTCCCGCCGGAGAGGCGTAACAGGTGGTTGCAAAGGGTTTTTCGGCTCCAGAATGCTCCAAGATGGCCTCCAAGATGGTCAGGTTGGCCCAAGATGGCCTCCAAGTTCGTCCAAGATGGTCCAAGATGGCATCGAAGACGGCCCCAGAGTCCAAGATGCCTCCAAGTTCGCACAAGAAACACCTAAGACTGCCCAAGACGCCGCAAGAGGCCTCCAGGAGGCCTCCAAGACGGCCCAAGAGGCCTCGAAGAGTTCCTCCAGGACATCCCGAAGAGGTCAAAATTCGCCGGCCCAACGGGCCAGAGGCGTGCTAAGATCTCCGGTAACTACTTAACAATATATTTCTAGTTCGCGCGCGCGGGGCGGCCCCTGGAGGGCCCCAGACGAAAAGTACTCCGGCCGATCCCCGGCTGGTTCCCGGGCGATCCCCAGGGGGGAGGCTATTTTTCGCCACCCCTCACGAGGATCGTGGCCTCCGAGGGGGGGGCTGCATTCGACTACCCCCCCTCCCGCCCCAAGGAGCCCCCAAGAGCCCCCCAAGAGGCCCCAGGGGGGCCCAATACGCCGCCAAGGAGCCCCAAGACGCTCCCAAGAAGCCCCAAAAAAGCCCCCAAGACGGCCCCAAGAGGCCCCAAAAAGCGCTCCAGGGCCGGCGGAATGAGCGAAGCGATTAAATAATTGTTTTGCCTTAGGTGTTTGAAGGATGTTGTCTTTTGCTCCTGTTCGGCCTTCCGACGGCCCAAGACGGCCCAAGAGCTCATCAAGATCGCCCCAAAAGTGCCCAAGAAGCCTCCAAGACGGCCCCAGGACGATCCAAGAGGCCCCCAAGATGGCCCCATGACAGCCCAAGAGGAAGACGGCCCAAGAGGCCCCAAAGACGCCCAAGGTGGCCTCCAAGACGGCCAAGATGGCCCCAAGAGAGCCCAAGAAGACCTCCAGATGAACTTCAAGTCGGCCAAGATGGCCGCTAAGACGGCCAAGATGGCCCAAGATGGGCCCGAGAGGTTCCAAGATTGCCCCAGAGGAGTCCAAGAGGTGCTCCAGGAAGGCCCGAGGGAGCCAAAATCTTCAATGTTCCTGAGGTGTTGGAAGGATGTTTGTTGTTCCTCGGTTTTGGTGTTCCGACCGCTTAAGACGGCCCAAGGAGTCCCCAAACTAGTCCCAGAGGCCTCCCAGATGGCTCGAGAACGGCCCAAGAGGCCTTCAAGCCAGCCCCAAGAGGGCCCCAAGACGGCCCAAGAGGTCTCAAAAACGGCCAAGATGGTCTCCAAGATACCTCAAGACTACCAAGATGAACTCCAAGACGACCAAGATGGCATCCAAGACGGCAAAAAGATTCTCCAAGATGCCTCCAAGACGGCCAAGAAGGCCTCCAAGACGGCCAAGAAGGCCTCCAAGACGGCGAAGATGGCCCCAAGATGCACCCAAGACGGCCCCAGATGGCCTGAAGATGGCCTTAGACTGCCCAAAAGGCCCGCCAGAGGCCTCCAAGACGGCCCAAGACCCCTCCAAGACGTCCTCCAGGAGGCCCGAAGGCTCGGAAACCACCTGGTCCGATAGCTCGCCCGACTCCGTGTTCCCCGAAGGCTTTCGAAACCCACTCGGGGAACGCGTGGCCCGATAGCTTGGCCAAGCTCAAACCCAACTTTCGGCCACGCAGGCGCTTCCAAAAAGTAGGCAGGGGGCGGCGGTGATTCGCCGCACGCGTCTTCGATAACGCCAACGTTTCAATATGCGCTGATGGTTCCTATCCGCCCCCGCATGCTGTTCCCAGATGCGCCAAGGCAGCGACGAGACGCACCGGCGCGACTCTCTTCTATCCCATTTTGATAGGGAGGGGGCCGGCGGCAGGGGGCGAAGCCCTTACGAATACTGCATGTACGACTTCAAGATCTCGGGGCGTCTCGAAAGTACTTTCAGAGTACCTGTCCTCCCCCTCCCAGTGAGCGCGGCCTCCACTCGCTCCATGCGGAGCGTCAGCCCGCCGCCCTCCTCCGCCAAGGAGCACTCCCGGCGCAGCAGCTGCGCGTGCAGGTCCTTCGACGACGACGACGACGACGACAACGACGACGACGACGACGAAGACAACGACGACGAACACGACGACGACATCGACGACGACGACGAAGACGACAGAGAAAGTTTTTGGCAATTGTCGGTCTCCGGGAGCCCCCACCGGGCCTCCGAGGACAGTCAAAAAACGGCTGTGCACGAAAGTCCCGATGGGTCCACCCTACGGGGACTCGACGGGACCCCCGAAGTGCTGTCGGATGCGCCAAGAGCACCCAGATCGTTCCAAGAGTTCCCCAGAGGGCCCCGAGACGGCCCCCCAATGTGGCCCAAGGTGGGCTCACCATGGTCCGAAAAGCCCTCGACGGCCAACGGCGCACCCCAGGGCGCCCCAAGACGGCCTCATGAGGGGCCTCGAGAGCCACGAACTGAAACAAAACTATGATTTCCAAATGGTTTTCACATGTGTGACATACACGCATATCTCAATCCTCGGGTTGTCTAAGACAGCCCGTACTGGCGCCCATTTCACCTCTTCCAACGCTGCCCATGCTAGGCATTGTGCGTCCCCTCCCCCCCGCTCGAGGTCATGATCTGGTTCCCTGTTCCTCCTTCCCTCTTTGTTTGTTTTTTTCTCTCTCTCTTTCTCTCTCTCCCCTCTCTTGTCTGCTGTCGCCTTTTACCTTCTACCTTCTACCTTCAACAAGAATCTCCCACCAGCCGGATGACAGTGCTCCAGAAGTCGCCTTGCTCTCAGTTGGATCAACCCCCCAGGACCGACCAGCCCTGGGGAGGGGAGGGCAGCTTCCAACGGAACCTCAGTCCTTCAGCACGTCAGCTCGTGAGGAGGAGAACGACGACGAAGAACCCTCCCCCCGGTCCAGGCACGCGTCGTCGGCCTCCTCGTCCGTCAGACCCACGCCGCTCGACGCGAGCCTGTCCCGGAGGTCCTCTCGGACGACGGACAGCGGGGAGGGAGGGGAAGCACCAGCATCATCACCATCAGCATCAGTATCACCATCACCATCATTATAACCATCATCATCACTCATCATCAGTATCATATATCATCATCAGCATATTCGTCATCATAATCAGCATCAGCATCAGCAGCATCGTCAGCATCAACATCATCATCGACATCATCCTGATCAGCATGAGCATCAACATCATCATCGTCAGTATCATCAACATGATTATCAGTATCATCAGACATCACAAGTACATCGTCCATATCTAATCATCAGCCAATCCTCCTCCACCATCGTCATGCCATCATCACGCATGACCCATTCACAATCCTTATCATTAACAACATCAACAACAACAACATCATCATCAACATCACCACCATCGTCATCAGCATCGTCATCGTCATCGACACAACCGTCATCGTTGGCATCAACATCTTGAACAGCATCATCATCATCAGCATCGCCATCATCATCACCATCATCATCAGCATCATCAACAAAATCATCATTAGCAAGAGCATCGTCATTATCGCCAGTATCATCATCACCATCATCATCACCATCATCAGCACCATCACTGAAAATCAGCATCATAATTATCATCAGCAGCAGCATCCTCAGCAACACCATGCACCACGAATACATCACCATTACATAGTAATCGGCCCCTCCTTCTCATCCACCACCATCATCTCATCATCATAGATCCACCAATCCATCATCATCATCAGAATCGTCCTCACCATCAGCATCATCATCATAGTGGTCGTCATCGTCATCGTCAGTATCAACATCAGCATCATCAGCAGCAGCATCATTACCATCACCACCACTACCATCATCATCATCATCACTCCCATCGTCATCGTCATCGTCATCCTCATCCTCGAGCGCCGAGAAGGTCCGTCGCGCACCCCCCCACCGCTGATCAGCAGGAGCGACACGACGACGAAGCAGTGGACCTAATCCTCCACCTCGATACCCTCCTTCTCCCCCTCCTCTAGTAACCATAGTGCTATTACTCCACAGACCTGTCCTGGAGAGCATCGACGCGGATCCAGCTGTGGCGACGAGGGGTCCTTTTCTGATCCTTCCCCTCCGCCACCACCACAGCCTCGTCAACCTCCCCCCTGGGTCGGAGAAGGGCCTTCAGCGACGCGCCCATGGACACACCATCGCCCTGGCCCCCGCCCAGCGACGGCACCGGCGGCGCCACCTCCTGCTTCGGGCGCGGCGTGAGCTCTACGCACGGGTGCGGCGTGAGCTCTGCGTCCGTCTTCGGTGCGATCCGCAGTCGCCCGTCACTGGAGTCCTTGGCGGGGGCCGCGGGACCCCCATCTCTCGCTCTGAAAAATCACGACGGGCGCGTTTTTGTTGCCATGTTCAGCCTCAGGGGGCCCTCGACGGCTCTCTTGGACGTCGAAAAAAAACGCTCGGGATGGAAAACCGGTCCTGGGGAAGGGATCTAGACCTCTGGAGATCAACGTGGTGAAAAAATCACGGCGTCGGAAATCTTGAGAGGTGATGATCCTGCCCATCGTGCTTTTCCTGCCAGTCCCGCTCCACACACCCCGCAGCGGCCGCCGCCCAGAGCTCGATGCAGGCCTCTGCGAGGGCTGAAACCAAGAGGCGTGCTCCTTGGGACACGTGCGCTAGACGTTAGTGTGCCATATCTATGTTAGCTAGCGTGGACCCGAAACAATGTGTTTCTGACGATATATGCTGTGCAGCTAATGGTCCGTTAACTACACTGCTCTCGCAATCATCCCACCCACCCACCCGCAACTTGGCTTGCAAAACCCATGCGGCGGCCATTGCGGTGCCTGCTTGGCGCTGGCTGGCACATCCGCGCAAGCGGGCGCAGGCTCGCGCGCAGAGCGGCCAGCTAATCTGGCGCGACCGACGCGGCCGCGGTGGCGCTGACCGCTCGGGACTTCCCAGCGCGTCTCACACGCCGCGCTGACGCGTGGGCACTTCAGTGCGAGTCGGTGACTCGGGTGGGCGCGGTATCATGACGACGCCGATAGAGGCAGACACAATGACCATTGCAGCGATGCTAGTGACGACGATGACGATGACGACGGCTAGGCAAATGACGGCGCCGATGCTGATCGCGCCGATGACGATGATGGTGTCCACGCAATTCGACATGCGCGGGCGGCCGACGGGAGCGATTGGCCCGCATGGGGCGTCTGAATGAGTTCGACATGCGCGCGCGAGAGGCCGCACATTTGGTCGCAGTTGGTGAGAATGTTGAAAGGCCGATGATGTGCCTAAGAATTCGCTTGTTTTAACATTGTCATGCGAAACCATGCGTTTTATGTTCGCGGCGCACTCAACTTTAAAATACGTGAGGACCAATAGGTTGTTGAAGGAATTCGGCATGCGCGCGACGACGCGCCCTCATGTACGTCGTCCGATCTGGTGCAAGGGGTTCCTGAAAATTGGTTAGTTGTGATAGGCGAGTGTGCGCGCATAGCGATTTTGTACGAGGATGTGGGCGGGTCGAACCAGGCCTGGTTGGCAAGGAAAGGAATCGTACTTCGAAGGAACGGTGGGGCAGAATCCGATGTAAGTTGCACATCCCCAAAGCGGGGGGATAATCCCGGGGGGAGGTTATAATTCTGTTCTAAAGGAGGAAAGACATGTGGTGCATTATGTGTGGTGCAGCTTATGTTGTAGAACGTATGTGGTGCAATGTATGTATCGCTGTCACTGTGAATCAATAGACGCGGTGCAGTCGATGATGTGCGACATATGTTGTGCAATATGTGCTGTGCGATCTATGTGGAGCAATATCTGTCGTGCGGTCTGTGTAGCGCAGTCCCAATGTGGTGCCAGGTGTGTGTGTCTATGTATATATATACATATATATGTGGGGCCTCCCATACGACCCAGGAGGGCCCCAAGAAAACTCCCATGGGGGCCCCAAGAGGCAAAAATCATGTCTGCTCCATCGGTGTGTGTGTGATTCGGGCGCTCTCGCCTTTTCGGCCTTCCATCGTTCCGAAACGGTCCAAGACAACCCTCGAGAGGCCCCCAGACGGCCCAAGAAGCCCCACAGAGGGCCCCAAGACGGCCCAAGAGTCCTCCTCCTCCTCGTCCTACTCCTCCTCCTCCCCCTCCCCCTCCTCCTCCTCCTCCTCCTCCACCTCCTCCTCCTCCTCTCCTCTCCTCCTCCTTCCTCCTCCTCCTCCTCCCCCTCCTCCTCCTCCTCCTCCTCCTCCTCCTCCTCTCCTCCTCCTCCTCCTCCTCTCCTCCTCCTCCTCCTCCTCCTCCTCCTCCTCCTCCTCCTCCTCCTCTCCTCCTCCTTTCCTCCTCCTTTTCCGCCTCCTTTTCCTCCTCCTTATCCTCCTCCTCCTCCTCCTCCTCCTCCTCCTCCTCCTCCTCCTCCTCCGACGACGACGACGACGACGACGACGACGACGACGACGACGACGACGACGACGACGACGCCCAACGCGCCAAGAGGCCCCCGCAGAAGGCGCGGCCTGCCAACCGCACGGACGCCGCCGCGCGCCGCCCGCGGGGGGGCCGCGTCCTGGCTGGTGCGCCCGCGCAGCTCGTCGTGCGCGGTGAGGTGCCTGATGCGCACGCGCAGCTCCTCGTTCTCGGCCTCGGCCGGCCCCACCAGCCCGCCCAGGCCTGCCCTCGGCCCGGCGAAGGGGAGAAGGCGGAGGAGGAGGAGGGGAGGGAGGGAGGGAGGAAGGGAAGGAGTGCAGAGGAGGAGGAAGGAGGAGGAGGAGGAGGAGGAGGAGGGTCGGGAGGGATGGGGAGCCCCCCCCCTCACCCGACCCGGCTGATACGCACGCGCAGCTCCCTGTTCTCGGCCTCGGCCCCCGCCAGTCCCCCTCTGGGGAGTCGACGCATCCCCCCCCCCTCCGAGCCTATGCCCTTGACGTTGCCCCAGAAGCAGCGGCGGCAGCAGCGGCTGCAGCGGCAGCAGCGGCAACAGCGACAGCAGCAGCGGCAGGGGGCGGGGCGGGATGCAGCCGTCGTCGTCGTCGTCGTCGTCGTCGTCGTCGTCGTCGTCGTCGTCGTCGTCGTCGTCGTCGTCGTCGTCGTCGTCGTCGTCAACCTGCACCCTCGCGAGCTGGTCGGAGGTCTTCGACAGGCTCTGGTGCGCGGCGTACAGCTCCTGCCGGGAAGGGGGCCGCATCCAAGTCTCGAGGATCAGCGGCTCGAGAAATCGATGGATCGACTTAATTATCCCTTCACAATCTTTCGATCGATCGATCCTTCGTCCCTCGATCGATCGCTCGATCGATCCACTGATCCAGCGAGGATCGAAAGAGGCGGGGCTCGGGGGCCGAGGCTGGAGGCTCGAGGGGCGAGAGCTCGCCTGCGAACGACGGCGGCCAGATGCCGCAGAGGCGGGCCCAGGGCAAAGGAGGAAAAGGGCGAACCGAGGGGGGAGGAGGAGGAGGAGGAGGAGGAGGAGGAGGAGGAGGAGGAGGAGGAGGAGGAGGAGGAGGAGGAGGAGGAGGAGGAGAGAGGAGGAGGAGGAGGAGGAGGAGGGAGAGGGGAGGAGGAGGAGAGGAGAGGAGGAGGAGGAGGAGGAGGGAGGAGGAGGAGGAGGAGGAGGAGGAGGAGGAGGGAGGAGGAGGAGGAGGAGAGGAGGAGGGGGAGGAGGAGGAGGAGGAGGAGGAGGAGGAGGAGGAGGAGGAGTGGTAAGTTACGTCTCCGGGCTGCGCGCAGACAGCCCCCCCAGGCAGCCCCAGCTGGCCTCCACAGGCCTCGCGAGAGCAGCCCCGGCCGGCCTCAGCCGGCCCCCCCGAGTGGTCCGGGGCGGTCTCAACACCCCGCGGCGCCCACGGGGCGCTCCGCGCTCCCACTGAGATTAGATGAAACCTCTGGGAGGATAAAGCAGGCACGTCCTCCTCCTCCTCCGCCTCCTCCTCCGCCTCCTCCTCCTCCTCCTCCTCCTCGCTGAGCGTGCGTAAGAAGTGCACGCTGGCATCCTATATAGTACTGCTCGATCGTGAACATGCATCAACGAGTTTGGAGCGGTCGTGTTGGGTGTGGTCGTTCTGGGTATTGCGTTTTGGGCATGTATGCACTAGTTTAGAATGGCGGCGCATTCAAACGAATCAAAGGGAACCCAACCAAAGGGGGGGCAGTAGAGGCGGGTTTGTCAAATCACCTCACGCAGCTCGTTTCCCCGGCACCTAGCGCCGAGAGGCGCCAAGCCTATGTGGAAAGGCGCCCGCCGGCAGGGCCGAAACCTGCTGCATGCAGCAGATGTCGTACCCCCTCCCCCTTTCACTACCCTATCCTCCCCTTCCGTCAAGTCCGATCCTGGGGCGGCCGATTGGGAGGGCCAGAGAACCTGACCCTCCCCCTCCTCCGCTTGTCGGTCTCCAGGGGCCCTCACTGGGGCCTGGGGTCGTCCAAAAAGGCTCGGAATGAAAATCCACCGACCCCGTCGGCGTGTGTGAGAGAGAGCGCTGGGTCCGTCGTCCCCGGGCGTTCCTCAGAAACGATCTCTCATTCGATTTGCTTTCTCCATTCCCGGAGACTCTCCCGAGACCCTCTTTGGCTCGCTAGGCTCGTGAACTCGAGGTGAATCGAGCCAGGTTGCAATCGAAGTCGCAATTAAGTTGAAGGGAAGACCATTCCCTTTGATCTCTTCCCCACCCGGGGGGGAGGCAACATGTATTGAACTGCCATGAAATTTTGACAGATGTTCGAGTTCCTGCCGTTTCGACTTTCCGACGCTCCAAGGCGGCCCCCAAGAGGCCCCAAAGATCGCCCCTAAGACGGCCTACGAGGCCGGGAGGCCCGAAGAGGCTCCTATGATGCCCCCAAGAAGCCCCAAGAGGCCCTGCTGGGGCCCTCTGAAGCCTTTTAGAACCTCTTGGTGCCCTTTGGAGCTCCTGTTCAAGCCTCCTAGGATTTTCAGAGAGCCCAGAGAAGTCTCCAAGAAGCCTCCAAGAGAGCCCCGAGACGGTTCCAAGAGGTTTCCCAAAAGGTCCTCAACAATATCATACCACAGCACGGTTGCGGGATGTACCGTGGGCCACCAGATAATCAAAGAGGGAGCCTGAAATCGCCCGAACGCCCATCGAGAGCCCCCAGAGGGCACAGAATTCGACCAGGCTCGCCTCCCTGATGGTCAGGATGGCGCTGCATTGCCGCCAAAAAGACCCAAGATGCCCTCAACGACGGCGAAGATGACCCCGTCTGACCTAAGATGGCCCCAAGATACCTCCAAGACGGTCCATGATGGCAGCAGAAGGCCGCCATGAAGACTGAGGCGAGCCCTGAAAAAGCTCCCAAGAGGTCTCCTCCTCCTCCTCATTCTCCTTGTTGTCCTCTTCGTCGTCCTCCATCGCACCCTGCTCCTCCCCCCCTCCATTCCTTTTCCTTATAAACAACTTATCCCTGTCGCACCCCGAGGCTGGTCAAAAAGGCGGGCCGGGCGTTTCGCCTGAGACTTCCTCACCGCTTATGACCCTGAAGCTTAAACGTTGACAACAGTTTGACAGATGGAAGGCGGGTGGTTTTCAACATGTGGCTCTCGCCTTAGCGCCGCGCACCTCGGTTTGTTGACAAATTATATAAAATTTCAATGGTTGAGGGCGGGTATTTTTCAAAATGTGGCTCTCGCCCTATCGCCGCGCACAATCGTTTTAGAAATGGCAAGAGTGTTACGGATTGATGGCGGGTCGTTTTTCAAATGTGGCTCTCACGGTAGCGCCGCGCGCACTCGTTTTAACAAATGCACGAGCTTCACGGATTGAGGGCGGTTCCTTTTCAAAATGTGGCTCTCGCCTTAGCGCGGCGCACATACCTTGAACTAGCAATAAGAGTTTCGCGGATTCCCATGGTCAACGTACCATAAACTGCGTTTGAGAAGATTCAGGATTATGAGGGTGCACAAATTACGTTGATTCGCTGTGTTGACGTCCTGGGAATGGCGTATGGCGCGAGTCAGGATCGTCAAGACGCAACGTCAAGTTCAGGTTGCTCCGTGGCGTTGAAGTCCCGAGAGCAATGTCTTGGCACGCTTCAGGCTCTGCAAACGGGTGTCTTCCAACGAGGCAGTTGCCTCAGTGGAAATGAACCTATGTAGGGGCCTATGAAGAGGAAGCTCGGAGGGAGAATGTATTCCAACATCGTGGATGACTCTTTGGTTTGCACTGATCCTCCTCCTCCTCCTCCTCCTTCTCCTCATCCTTCTCCTCCTCCGCCTCCGCCTCCGCCTCATTCTCCCTCCTGATCCCCCTCCTTATTCCTCCCCAGCGGCTGCGGGAGCCTATAGGAAGATACCTTGGCCAAGCTGTGCTCCTCGTCATACGCTTCTTGGGAACCCCATGGGGCTTCAAGGGAACTCTTCGGGGCGTCTGGTCTCAACCTTCCCGAACACCTCTGGCTGACACCTTCTGGGTGAGGGGGGTGGGGGAGGGAGTGTGCAGGGGGGGGGGGCTGGGCAGCGGCATGACGAGGGCGTGCAGGAGGAGGCCCGGGGGCTGTGGAGGGGAGCGGGAACGAGAGGGCGTGGGGCTCTCGGCTCGAGGGGGGGCCCTGCGCCGGCGTGCTGAGCGGGAGGGTGGGGCTGGTGCCCCAAAGGGAGGGGGGAGGGGGGGGCATTGCGCTGGCGTGCCCCTCTGGCCAGCCTTGCGTTAGGAGAGCAAATGAGCACCCCCACCCCCACCTGGCCGCCCTCCCGGGGGGGGGGGAGGGGGGAGCAGGTGCAGTGGGTATAATTACGTCATAACACCTCAGTCGGGAGCCGAAGTACTGTGGCCGAGCCACGGGAGAGGGGAGGGGAGCTAGGTGATGGTAGGGGTCCGCTGTCCCAGACAAGTGTTGATGAATCCTGACACTGAGTGTACACAGAAAGCGGGCAAGCATCCTGGTGAAAGGGCGCAGCCTGGGGACAGGAGCGAAAAGAGGACGAGGAGCGGGAGTGGAGGAACACCAACATGAGCATCGACGCAAATGTTCGGAGGACCGCGGAGATGTTCTTGATCCCCCCTCCCCTGGCGCGCGGAGCGTGCCAAGGGTCCCAGCGCAGGTCGAAGAGATCAGCGCGGGTATCCGAAAGTTCATGGTTATGCAAAGTGTTCTCCTTCCAAGGGGGAGCACCCTTCAACAGCGCCTGCGTTTGCGCAATAAGCAGAACCCTCCAGAACGACCGCGAGCTCGGATGACGACAGCCCTGCGCCGACGCTAAATAATCGAGAACCACATGAAACTGTACAAGAAGCTTGCAACGCATGGAAGCCTCCGATCTTGCTGTTTTTTGTGGATCGAAGCTAATCGATGCAAAATCGGGGCTCTCTCGTCGATAACCAGGCGCTGACGCGCGCTAGTTCAATCGAAAGACGGAACTGCAGGGAAACACAAGGTTCTCATGATTTGCGATTGAAATAAACCCTAGACTACACAAAATGTACTGTCGTTGCTTCCCGTATCTAGACACGGGAAGACAAAGACCGCGTCGACGCTGAACATGTTACACCATGCAACTGCACAGACATCGGAACACGTAAAAACAGCAACAACAACCCTTGCAACAAAAAACGAGACAACTTTACGCAAATCACGGTGGGGGGTCGCGATGGGAAGCCGCAGAGGAGGGCCGACAACGGAGCCGTGCATCCCTCACCTGCCGGTGGAATGGCTGTAGGGAACCCTTTTGGAGAAGCTGCCCAGAGAGGACGAGTAGACGAGGACGGCAAGGAGGCGAGGAGGACGAGGGAGACGAAGAGGACGACGGAGACAAAGAGGACACGGAATAAGTACAGAAAACCCCTCCTGGTACGCTGTTCAGGGAGGACGAGGAGATGAGGACGGCGAGGAGAAGAGGAGAACGAGGGAGACGAAGGACGAGGAACAACTGTGGAACACCCGCAAGGGCAAGCTGTGCAGGGAGGACGAGGAGGACGAGGGAGACGAGGAGGACGAAGGAGACGAGGAGGATGAGGGAAACGAAAGGGACGACGAATAACTATAGAAAACCGCATGGACAAGCCTTTCAGGGAGGACGAGGACGAGGACAAAAAACGATAGAAACCGCGCCGACGAGTTGTTCATGGAGGACGAGGAGGACGTGGAAACGAGGAGGACGAGGGAGACGATTAGGACGAGGCAGAACTATAGAAAACCCTTACGGGCAGCTGTTCAGGAAGGGCGAGAAGGACGAGGAGACGAGGAGGACAAGGGAGACGAAGCGAGGCATAACTATAGAAAATCATTACTGACAAGGTGATCGGGGAGGACGAGGAGGACGTGGAGACGAGGACGGCGATCAGCCGAACACTGCCCAAGGCGCAACACAGGTAAGGCTCCCAAGCCCAAACGCGTCCTCCAGGGCTGGGCCCCCACCCCTGGAGCTACGAAAAGCACCAACGTAATTCGCTTGAGCCCGTTGGCGCGGCTGCGAAAGGCACCCAAACAAAATAGTCCAGAAGGTTTTTGTGGAGACCTGCGACAAGCACCTACATCCGCCGGCCCCCGTGTGGGGCCACCAGGCTGTAGGACCAGGGTTTGCTGTTCCCTGCACCAGTTCCAGTTTCTAGTTTCCACTGTTACAGTTCTGCTTCATGCTGCTTATTTATGCTGCTTACGCGCGAGGGGGGGGAGCCGAAAAGCACTCTGTTTAGCACCTCCTGGGAGGGTTCTCAGGATTCCTGGGGGGGTCGAAATTGACACCCCTCACGCAGATCGGCGAGGTCAGGGTCCGAAAACACATGGGAGTTGCCACATGTCTTGAAATTTGGTCGCACCCCTCACGCAGATCGGTGGGGTCAGGGTCCAAAAACACACGGGATTTGCCACATTTCTGAAATTCGGTGGCACGCCTCATGCAGATCGGCGGGGTCAGGGTCCAAAAACACACGGGATTTGCCACATGTCTTGAAATTCGGTGGCACCCCTCACGCAGATCGGTGGGGTCAGGGTCAAAAAACACACACGGGATCTGCAACATGCCAATACTTCGTAGAGAAGCTTGTCGCACAGCATACGCGAGCAAGCTCGAAATGCAACACCGAATTCAACAATATCATCAGAATCTCAATTTGTCTTGCCGATTACTCATCATCTTCCCGTGAACTCCCGAAGCTGCTTCACGGCGGCGCCAAGGCCTCATGATTTCGCTCTTGCATGGCCCATTATCCGAGAGAGGGAGCCGGCGGCAGGGGGCGAAGGCGTTACGGCTAAATTTGACGTGCCCCGAGTTTGTTTAGGATATGTCCAGGCCCGAAAACATCCTCCAGGGCTGGGGCCGACCCGGGGAGCACCACAAAAAACTGCTCGGCATCCGATGATGAAGTTCTTCGTGGTGGTCCACAGGCCCGCGCCCTCCACGGCTGGGCACCGACCCCCGGGGCTGCGAAAAGGACCGAGATCAACGCTCCGGGGCCCGATACTGTTGTCGAGGAGGCCCCCAGGCCCGAGAGCGTCCTCCAGGGCTGGGCCCCGACCGCTGGGGCTGCGAAAAGCACCGAGATCAACGTGTCGGGGCTCGAAGAATTGTCTTGGAGGCCCCCCGGCCCGAAAGCGTCCTCCAGGGCTGGGCCCCGACGCCTGGGCCTGCGAAAAGCACCGAACTCAAGACGCTTCGGGGCCCGAGCAATTGATTGTTCGGGGGTCCCCAGGCCCGAAAGCGTCCTCAAGGGACGGGCCGCGACCCCTGGGGCTGCGAAAAGCACCGAAATAAACGGTTCGGTGGCAGAAGCTTTTTGCGGGGAAGATCCCCAGGCCCGAAAACGTCCTCCAAGGCTGGGCCCCGACCCCTGGGGCTGCGGAAAGCACCGAAATAAAAACGCTTCGGGGCCCGAACAATTTATTGTTCGGAAGTCCCCAGGCCCGAAAGCATCCTCCAGGCCTGGGCCCCGACCCCAGGGGCTGCGAAGAGCACCGAAATAAGCGTTGTCGGGGCCCGAACAAACGGTTTGGGGGGGCCAGGCCTGAAAACGTCCTCCAGGGCTTGGCCCCGACTCATGCTGCTGCGGAAAGCACCGAACTAAACCCTTCGAGGCCCAAACAGTTTGTGGGGGGAGATCCCCAGGCCCGAAGACGTCCTCCAGGGAAGGGCCCCGACCCCTGGGGTGGCGAAAAGCACCAGCACAAACTGTTCGGGCCCCGAACAATCTGTTGGAGGCCCCCAGGCCCGAAGGCGTCCTCATGGGCTGGGTGCCCACCCCCGGGGCCGCAAAAAAACAAGAAAATACATGCTGTGGGGCCCTACAGCAGTTGTCCTGGAGGTCTCCAAGCCTGAACCCGTCCTCCAGGGCTGGGCCCCGTCCCCCCGGGGCTGCTAAAGTCCTTGGGGCGGACGCAGCATCATCGCCAAGAAGAGAAGCGGGGGGCGCAGATAAGCGCATGACCCGGCACATGCCAACACACAAGACGAGCACTGAGACTACAGCCAAACGCCTACGAACACATACCGAACCCGGTGTCTACACCCGCGGTTCGCCGGACCACGGTCCGAACAAGTGATTGCTTCGCCGAACACACACACACACACACACACACACACACACACACACACACACACACACACACACACACACACACACACACACACACACACAAATCACGGAGATTCGCCGAACAAGCGATCGACGAACACATGGTGCCGAACACAGCCGAACAAGTGATTAGAAAATTCGATGGCCAGGATCGGGCCGGGCGAAAGGGGGGCATAGTAAAAAGGGGTTTGAGAATCAGCTCGCGTAGCTGACTTTCCCGGCACCTCCCGGCGCCGGAGGCGGCTATGTATCGAGGAATGGGTCCCTCGGTGGGGCCGAAACCAGCTGCATGCAGCAGATTTCGCAAGCCTCCCTTTCCCAGTCCCCCCCGTTCGTCCGGCCCGACGGGAAGACGCGGCCGACGCGTCCTCGAACTTCGCGAGCAGCACCTCCGCGGCCGGCGACCTCTGCGCCTCTGCGGGGCGGAGGCGCGCCGGGGGGCCCGCGCCCCCCTCCCCCACGCACGGGGGCGGCGGCGGCGGCGTGCCCTCCTCCGCTTCAGCCTCGCTCGCACGCTCGCTCGCAGCCTCGGGGCTCTCGAGATAAAGTCCTCGTCCGCTGCCCCGTCCGCCTCCTTGTGCAACTCCTCGTCCCCGTCGTGTTCCGCAGCCACTGACCCTCCTCCCCTCGTCGCCCCCTTCCTGGCTGATTCCTCCTCCTCCTCCTCCTCCTCCTCCTCCTCCTCCTCCTCCTCCTCCTCCTCCTCCTCCTCCTACCTCCTCGTCATCGCCCGCCTCGCCCTCCTCCAGCATCCCCTCCTCCCCCTCCTCCTCTTCCTCCTCCGCCTCGTCATCTCTACCATAATTACATGCGCCTCTTCCACATGCCCCCTCTTCCTGCCGCACCTCCTCCGCCTCCTCCTCTGTCTCCTCGTCGTCACCACTCGTCGTCATCATCCTCATCACCACCACCATGGTCCTCACCACTGTCACCACCAACACCATCATAACAATCACCACTACCACCATGTACACATCACTGGCCGTATCACAGCCAATAACGCCGTCATAGGGTCCGTGTACAACGTCAACACAAGATTGCCAACCACCCCCATCATCATCACCAACACCAACATCACCATCACCATCACCACCACCACACCACCAACACCAACACCATCACTATCACCATCAGCATCACCATCAGCACCATCATCATCACCATCAGCATCATCAACGACACCATCACCATCACCATCACCATCACCATCACCATCATCATCATCATCATCATCATCATCATCATCATCAGCAACAACATCACCACCTCCATTCCCGTCACCATTGGCATCAACATCGCAATCGTATCAGCATTATCGCTAATATCACCACTGCTGCCATTCATTATCATCACTGCCGTGTCAGCAGCGCCGCTGTGCTGCAACGCTGAAGCGCGCAAACATCTAGTTCTGCGCGCATGCTCTGGCAGTGAGATCTGCTGGGCCAGATCGTCCGCATGCCGAACGAACATCCAATGCGAAGATGCATTGTTCGCCCTGGCTTCTTCGATCCTGTGCTGCCAGCGGCCTGGCGACGGGGCAGGCCGCTCAAGGCGACGGGGCAGGCCGCACAACAGTTGGAAGATAGAGGTATATAAATGCCCACGCGCGCGGCGCGGCGGGCGGCAAAAAAAACAACTGAACGCGCATTATGGGCAGTAATTTGGCAGGAGTAGAGCGGTGCACAATGGCAAGACACTCCAGCTAAGAAGCGTGAGTCCTTATTTCCCCTTTTCCTTCCCCTGTTCCCCGCCAGTTCAATTCTCGGGGGGGGGGGGGAAGTTTTTGCTGTGCGAGTTGTTTATCATGTGCTTCCGGGTGAATTGTCAAAAGCCTGACTGTTGGCCCGGCTCCTTCGCCCGCTTGGCTATGGGGTGGCGTCGTTGTCCCCTCCTCCGCCGTCCTGCGTCGTTCCTCTGCCTGCTTCCTCTCTTGCTGATCCCCTGGGCTGTCGCCCTGTCGTCGCCCTCCTCCCGTCCTCGCGGCTGTCGTTCCCTGTCGTTCGCTCTCCTCCCTCCCCTGGTTCCAGGCTCGTCCTGGCACCTGGGTGTCAGTCCTCCTCTGTCCCCTGCTGCGGTTGCTTTCCCCGGTCGTCCACCTTGCAAGCTTTTTGGTGGGTGGGCATGGGTGGCGCTCCATTGTTTCGCAGCTGCGCCACTGGCAGCGGATCCTGCCTCGCCGCTCTGCCAAAGCACCTTTGGACGTGCACGGCTTTTCCCTTTCGTTTTTCTCTCTCTCTCTCTCTCTTTCTCTCTCGCTCTTTCTCTCTCTCTCTCTCTCTCTCTCTCTTTCCCTCCTCTCTCTCTCTCTCTCTCTCTCTCTCTCCATCACTCCCAATGATCGCCGTATTCGTCGTCAACGCCGTTGTTGTCATCGTCGTCATCGCCCTCCTCATCCCCACCGCCATCTGCGTTATCAATCTCATCATCGTGGTCGTGGTCGTCATCCTCATACGCATTACTGTCACCATCACCATCGCCATCGCCGTGATGGTCAACAGCAGTTTCGCCAGAACCACCACCCTCACCATCACCAGCCACCCTGGCAGGCCTCGTGTCTGGCAGGCCGAGATCGGTGATCGGGAGCCGCCGTACCCCCCCACGTCTTACGCAGACCCAGATTAGGTCTCGCCATCCCTGAGACAGGGCTACAAATTGTGAACTGCCGCCACTTTCGGAAGCCGCTGGGGTTCCAGCGGAGTGACCTCCTAACGCAGATACATCTTAGATCCCACCATCCCAGGGTGGCTGCGGCGAGCTGCGAAACTATGGACACGTTCGAAGGCTGGCGGGGGTCCAGCATAGCGACGCCCACGCGGACTCACATTCGCCTCGCTTGCTTTCCCCGCGGGCCGCCCGAAGACCAGGCTGCGCGCCCGCAGGGTCTTGAGTTCCCGCGCTGACAGGTGCACTAAGGAAGCAGGACAACTCGCGGGCGAGCTCGGTCTCGCTCGCTTCTTACACCCGCACTGAACAGTTGATCATTTCGGGCGCAAGAGCGACATGGCGCGGGCCGGGCTGGCCGTCCAGAGAAACACAGGGAAAATATCGCCACCTTCCTTACTCATGCTGCCTCTTTCGTTGTCGCCCTCTCCCTCCATCCACCATTTCACTTCTGTTGTCGCGCTAACTGCTCGGCCCCGCTTCCGTCCTTTTCGTGCCCCCCGTGCCCACCCCCGTTTCCTCTTCGAGCTTGGGGCCTCAGCCCTCGTCCTTCTGTTCATGTCCTGTAAGTCGCGCAGCGCGCGCCCTCCCCATATGACTTGCGAAACCAATGGCAAATTGTTTACTGTCTTCAGCCAGAAGATTCTGACCCAGCTCCTTTTGTCAGTGAATTCAAGTGGGTAGGGTACGTCGCAAAGTAATGCACGACGAGGAGAAACCTCGGCTCATAACACTAGCCTCCCAGACCAGTCGGGCACACCAGCCCGGAAGGCCCCCGGGGAGGCGCGACTGCCTGGCAGCATCCCGAGGCTGGAAGACTTCTGGGAAGCAGCGCAGACCTTTGAACATCTCCCGTCGGGTTTTCTCAACACCGAGAGAATGGGAGGAGGAAGAGGAGGGAGGAGGAGGAGGAGGAGGACGAGGAGGAGGAGGGGACGGTGGAGGGGGAGGAAGAGAAGGAGGAAGAGGAGGAGGAGGAGGAGGAGGAGGAGAAGGGGGAGGAGAAGGGCGTAGGAAGGACGGACGGAGAAGGGCGAGCAAAAGTTGTTCGGGGCTTCGCTGCTTCTGCTGTCCCTCGACTCGCGCTGAGGAGCGTTCACCCTTTGCTCCAACTTCCCCTTGATCAGGGCTTCACCTCGATGCATCCAGATGTATCTCGATGCACATGGATTCACCTCGACGCATCTGGCACGCAGAGCCTTCTTCCCCGACCATCCCGTGGTATCGGGCCCTCTTTTGAAAAGACATCGCCCCGCGTCCCACTCACTCACTCACTCACTCACTCACTCACTCACTCACTCACTCACTCACGCTCACCCTGCTCGTCCCTGCCCATCCTCCTCCTCTCTGCTCCTCCCATAAGTGCCACTGCCCTCCACGTGTCCAGTGCCTGGGCCAGCACGCCTGGCCAACCACCGTTCCGGCGCACCCCCTACACGCTTCGCGGCCGGATAGGACGCTCCACCTGATCCCCGCAGGCCTGGTCCACACCGTTCCCGATCCCATATGGGGAGCATCTCCGAAGACGATGCTCGCAACCGTTTCCGCCAAGCTTGTCTTCATCGCGGCGATGCCAGACGTAACGCCCTTCCCCCCCCCGCCGAGTGGGTCCGGCAGCGCAGGCTGTGGCATCGGACGCACTGCAGCAGTGCCCAGGACGCACTGCGGTGGGGGGGGGCAGAGTTACAGTCGGGCCGCTGAAAGAAGGAACGCTAAATAAGGAACGAAGCCCCTTCTTGGCCCTTCCAAGCGCCTCCGTGCCCCAGGAGGGCAAGAGGAACGGCACCGGAGGAACCTAAGGAACATCGAGCCCCTTCCGAATCCAAATTCTTCCTTATTTCAACGGCCCGACTGTACGTCACGCGAAATGGTTAAGAAATCATGGGTTAAGAAATTCATGGTCTCAGAACTTGAATAAAAACCACACAATTATACCAAAATCTTAGGATTTACATTGAAACGTTAAGAATAATCGAGACTCTGGCCGAAAACTTAAGTTTTCTTAAGCATCGCCTAAGGTGTACGTCATGGGGGGGGGGGGCACGCTCGCCGTCCGCCGTCCTGGATCTCCGCGCGTGGATCGCACGGGCGTCCGCCCAGTCTGGTCGCCGCTCGCAAGTCCGCCGTCCTCGTCGCTACCGCCGCCGCAGCCCCGTCATCGTCGGTCGTCCGTCGTCGTCGCTCATCGTCGTCGTCGTTGTCCGTCGTCGACGTCGACGTCTTCGTCGTCGTCCGTCGTCGTCGTCGTCGTCGTCCCCGTCGTCGCCGTCGTCGTCGTCGTCGTCGTCGTCCGTCGTCGTCGTCGGCCGTCGTCGTCGTCGTCATCCGTCGTCGTCGTCCGTCGTCGTCGTCGTCCTCCGACGTCGTCGTCGTCGTCGACTTCATCGTCCGTCGTCGTCCGTCGTCGTCGTCGCCGCCGTCTGCGTGCGTCCTCCATCGTCGTCGTCGTCGTCGTCGTCCGTCGTCCGTCGTCCGTGGTCGTCGTTGCCCGTAGTCGACATCAACGGCTTCGTCGTCATCGTCGTCGTCGTCCGTCGTCGTCGTCGTCATCGTCGTCGTCCGTCGTCGTCGTCGTCATCCGTCGTCGTCGTCATCATCCTCCGTCGTCGTCGGCGTCGTCGTCGACTTCGTCGTCCGTCGTCGTCCGTCGTCGCCGTCGCCGCCGTCTGCGTCCGTCGTCCGTGGTCGTCGTCGTCAATCGTCCGTCGTCCGTCGTCGTCTGTCATCCGTCGTCGACGTCAACGTCGTCGTCGTCGACCGTCATCGTCGCCGTCCTCGTCGACGACGTCCGTCGTCATCGTCGTCGTCGTCGTCATCCGTCGTCGTCCGTCGTCGTCTGTCGTCCGTCGTCCGTCGTCGAAGTCGTCATCCGTCGTCGTCGTCGTCGTCGACGTCGTCGTCGTCCTCCGTCGTCGTCGTCGTCGTCGTCGTCCGTCATCCGTCGTAATCCGACGTCGTCTGTCGTCCGTCGTCGTCGTCGTCGTCGTCGTGGTCGTCGTCATCGTAAACCGTCATAGTCGTCGTCGTCGGCGTCCGTCGACGTCGTCCACGTCGTCGTCGCCCGTCGTCGTCGTCGTCGTCGTCGAGGTCCGTCGTCCGTCGTTCGTCGTCCGTCGTCGTCGTCAACCGTCGTCCGTCGTCATCGTCGACGTCGTCCTCCGACGTCGTCGTCATCGTCCATCGTCGTCGTCGTCGTGGTCCGTCGTCGTCGTCGTCGTGGTCGTCGTCGTAGCGGTCATCGTGGTCGTCCGTCGTCGTCTGTCGCGGTCGTCGTCGTCCGTCGTCGTCATCCGTCATCGTCATCCGTCGTCGTCGTCCGTCGTCGTCGTCGTCGTCCTCCGTCGTCGTCGTCGTCGTCGTCGTCGTCGTCGACTTCGTCGTCCGTCGTCATCCGTCGTCGTGTGCGTCCGTCGTCGTCGACGTCGTCGTCGTCGTTGTCGTCGTCGTAGTCGTCGTCGTGGTCGTCGTCGTCGTCTGTCGCGGTCGTCGTCGTCCGTCGTCGTCATCCGTCGTCGTCGTCCGTCGTCGTCGTCGTCCGTCGTCGTCGTCGTCGCCCTCAGTCGTAGTCGTCGTCGTCGTCGTCGACTTCGTCGTCCGCCGTCACCCGCCGCCGTGTGCGTCCGTCGTCGTCGACGTCGTCGTCGTCCTCCGTCGTCGTCGTCGTGGTCGTCGTCGTGGTCGTCGTCGTCAGTCGTCGTCCGTCGTCGTCTGTCATCCGTCGTCGTCGTCAACTGTCGTCGTCGTCGACGTCCGACGTCGTCGTCGTCGTCGTCGTTCGTCGTCGTCGTCGCAGCCGTCTGCGTCCATCGTTGCCCGTCGTCGTCGTCGTCGTCGTCCGTCGTCCGTCGTCGTCGGTCGTCGTCGTCGTCGTCGTCCATCGTCGTCGTCATCGCCGTCCTCATCCTTCGTCGTCCGTCGTCGTCTGTCGTCCGTCGTCAATCGTCGTCGTCGCCATGGTCGTCATCGTAGCCCGTCGTAGTCGTCGTCGTCGTCGTCGTCGTTCGTAGTCCGTCGTCGTCGTCATCGTCGACGTCGTTGGCCGTCGTCGTCGTCGTCGTCCGTCGTCCGTCGTTCGTCGTCGTCGTCGTCGTCCGTCGTCTTCATCGCTGTCGTCGGCGCACGTCGTCGCCTGTCATCGTCGCCATTATTCGTCCATCGTCGTCGTCGACGTCGTCCGACGTCGTCGTCGTCGTCGTCGTGGTCGTCGTCGTCCGTCGTCGTCCGTCGTCGACGTCGTCCGTCGTCGACGACGTCCGTCGTCGTCATCGTCGTCAACGTCGTGGAGGACGACGACGACGACAACGGCGATGACCGTCGACGGCGATGGATAACGGACGACGAAGAACGACGACGACGACGACGGACGACGACGACCACGACGACGACGGACGTCCACGACGATGACGACGACGACGGACGACGGACGACGACGAAGACGTCGACGATGCCGACGGACAACAACGACCACGGATGACGGACGACGGAGGACGACGACGACGGGTGACGACGGATGCAGATGGTGGCGACGACGACGACGGACGACGACGATGGTGACGTTGACGACGATGACGACGACGGACGTCGTCGACGACGTCGTCGCCCGTCGTCGTCGTCGTCCGTCGTCCGTCGTTCGTCGTCCGTCGTCGTCGTCGTCCGTGGTCGCAAACGTCGTCGTCGGCGTCCGTCGTCGTCTGTCGTCGTCGTTGTCATCGTCCATCGTCGTCGTCTACGTCGTCCGTCGTCGTGGACGTAATCATGGCAGTCTTCGTAGACGTCGTCGGGGTTGGTCGTCGCCTATCGTTGTTGTCGACATCCGTCGTCGTCGTCCGTCCGTCGTCGTCGTGGTCGTCGTCTGACGTCCGTCTTTGACGTCGTCGTCGTTGTCGTCGTCGTCCGTCGTCGTCCATCGTCGTCCGTCCTCGTCCGTCGTTGTCGTCCGCCGTCGTCGTCGTCGTCGTCATCGTCCGTCGTCGTCGTCGTCATGGTCGTCACCGTCCTTCGTCGTCGTCGTCCTTCGTCGCCCGCAATCGTCGTCCGTCGTTGTCCACCGTCGTCGTCGTCGTCGTCGTCGTTGTCGTCCGTCGTCGTCATCGTCGTCATCGTCGTCGTCGTCCCTCGTCGTCCTCGTCGTCGTCATCGTCGCCGTCGTCGTCGTCGCCGTCCATCGTCATCGTCGTCGTCATCCGTCGTCGTCGTCGTCGTCATCGTCGTCCGTCGTCGTCATCGTCGTCATCAACGTTGTCGTATGCGTCGTCGCCGACTGTCGTCCTTCGCCGTCGTGGCCATCGTCGTCGTTGTAGTCGTCCGTCGTCCTTCGTCTGTCGGCGTCGTCGTCCGTCGTAGTCCGTCGTCGTCGTCACTATCGTCGTGGTCCGTCGTCGTCGTCGTAGTCGTCCGGCGTCGGCGTCGTCGTCGTCCGTCGTCGTCGTCGGTCGGTGTCGTCCTCCGTCGTCGTCGTCGTCCGTCGTCGTCCGTCGTCAACCGTCGTCGTCGTCGTCCGTCGTCGTCGTCGTCGTCCGTCGTCCCCCCCACTCCTCGTCATTTTCGTCCGTCGTCCGCCGTTCGTCGTCTTCGTAGTCGTCGTCATCGCCGTCGTCGTCGTCCGTCGGCGTCTTGGTCGTCGTCCTCCGTCGTCGTCATCCGTCGTCGTCGTCCGTCGTCGTCGTTCGTCGTCGTCGTCGTAGTCGGTCGGCGTCGTCGTCGTCATCCGTCACCGTCGTCGTCGTAGTCATCGTCCGTCGTCGTCGTCTGCGTCGTCGTCGTCGTGAACCAACGTCCGTCACCCGTCGACCATCGTCCATCGTCGTCGTCGTCGACCGTTGTCCGTCGTCGTCGTCGTCGTCGTCATCGTCATCGTCGCCGTAACGGTCCGTCGTCGCCGTCGTCGTCGTCGTAGTCGTCGTCATCCGTCGTCGTCATCGTAGTCGTCGTTGTTGTCGTCGTCGTCGTCGTCCGTCGTCGTCCGTCGTCGTCGTCCGTCGTCGTCGTCGTCGTCGTCGTCGTCGTCGTCGCCCGTCGAGGCGGCAGCGGCGGGCGGCCAAGGGCGGCTCCTCGGGGCGCCCCTCCGGAGGCCGCCTCCCGGGCTCCCCCTGTGCGCCGGCGGCCATCGCGGCCGCCGCGGCGCCCACGGGGAGGGGCGCGGCCCGGGCGGGGCCCTCCGCTGCGCGCGGGGCGCCGTGGCCGTCGTCGTCGTCGTCGTCGTCGTCGTCGTCGTCGTCATGATCATCCTCGTCGTCGTCATCGTCGTCGTCGTCTCATCCTTCGTCGTTGACGTCGTCGTCATCAGTTTCGTCGTCGTCGTCCTCCTCCTACTCCTCCTCCTCCTCCTCCTCCTCCTTATCATCATCAGCAGCAGCAGCAGGGTCACCATCACGATCATTACCATCATCATCACCATCACCATCACCATCATCAGAGTACTACACTAATATTGGTAATTATAATGTCAATACTAATAATAATAACCGACATCAGCATCATCATCATCACCCTCATCGTTGTCATCATCAGCGTCATCGCCATCGTCATCGTTATCGTCATCATCGTCATCATCAGTATTATACTAATCACCATCATTAACATAATCATCAGCATCATAATCATCAACATCATCATCAGCATCATCATCATCATCATCATCATCATCAGAATCATCATCATCATCATCATCATCATCATCATCATCATCATCATCATCATCATCATCATCATCATCATCATCTGTATCAGCATCATCTTTACCAGTGTCATCAGCATCTTTGTCGTCACCAGCAGCACGGAGCAGCATCAAGCAGCAGCAGCCGCAGCGTATCGTCATCGACATCATCAGCATTCCCATCATCATCATCATCATCATCATCATCATCATCATCATCATCATCATCAGCATCAGCATCAGCATCAGCATCATCATCATCATCATCATCATCATCATCATCATCATCATCATCATCGCGTCATCATCAGCATCAGCAGCATGAGCAGCATCAGCATCATCCGCAGCGTCATCATTATCACTATTCCCATAATCATAATCATCATCATACCAATCCCCATCATCAGCAGCAGCATCATAAACATCATCATAATCATCAGCATCAGAACATCAACATCATTATCATCATCAACATCGTAATCATCATCCTTCGTACCGTCAGCAGCATCAGCATCATCTTCATCATCAGCATCATCAGCAGTATCATCATCCTCCCCATCAGAACCATCATAATCCTCCTCGTCGTCGTCAGCAGCAGCACCAGCAAGGGCACCATCATTGTCATCAGCATCCTCAGCAACATCAGCAGCAGCAGCACCACCAGCATCGGCATGAGCATCGTCACCAGTATCATCATGATCAGCATAACCATCACCATCATCCAAGCATCATCAGCATAGCCATCACCATCCATCACCATCTACCACCACGCATCATCATCGTTCATCGTCAGCAGCATCAGCATCGTCATCAACATCATCATTACCAGCATCACAATCATCAAAACATCATCACCAGGTCATGATCAGCATTATCATCATCATCAGCATCAGCATCATCATCAGCATCATATTCATCATCAATATCGTCATCATCATCATCAGCATCATCATCATCATCATCATTTTCGTCCTCATCACCGTCGTCTCCATGTTTACCCTCATCGCACTTGATCAAGCATTTACCCTCATTACCGTCCTTCTCTCTCATCCTCACCCATCCTGCCCCGGTCCCACCCACGTCGTCTCATACATCCCCGCGTGACCGTGAGCAAGTCTAGAAAGACAATGCCAGACACAGGCGCATACCATGCTCATCATCGCACGTACTATGTGACGGCATCTGCTTAAAACCCCGCAGCAATGCCGCGAGGCACTGAGGGAAGCATCTCTCCGGTCGTGCCACCTGGCCCGATTCGAACGATCTGTGCCGCCGGCCCCCAAGAGGCCCCAAGAAAACCTCCACGCGGCCCCAAAAGAGCTTCCCAGGTGCCCCCCAGAGACATCCAAGAGGATCCTGGTACGCGACCCAGGCACGGTGGCGAGTTGGGCCGAGGGCTACTCGATGTAGATCGTGCCTCCGAGATGAAACGCTGGCACGCGCAGGCCGCACGCGCATTTCCTGCGCCCCTCTGCTCTGCCCGCGCTGATCCTCCCCCGCGCTCCTCCTCCTACTCCTTCTCCTCAAACCTCCTCCCCCTCCTCCTCCTCATTCATTCATTCATCATGAGGCGGACGGTTCGAAGCCTATACAGAGAAGAGAACGAGATGAAATGGACAAAGGAAGTAGAGCACGTACTCGCAGTGGAGTGATGCTGATCCAAAGCAAACCTGGGGTACTGCCTATGGCGCACGAGCCAAGACAAAGGAAGTGCAGAGAGAAAGCAAGGCAAAGCAGAGACCTTCGCCCAGGTTGCGCGGTACTGCCTATGGCGCGCCACACTGCTTAGTGCGACACCTTCGCATTACTATTTTTTAAAGTGAATGGACACTGGCACTGACCAACTAGGTCAGGGCATCGCCTTCATGCGAAGGCCCTTCCCGCAATTGAGCAACAGTCAGTGAGGAAGGGAGGTTTGTCTGAGAAGGGTCCTCCACTGGTATTCGTACCGCTGGGTGGCCGTCGATGCGTGGCCTGCCCGATCGAAGGTTCAAATCTCCGTCGTGTGGTAATGCCAGATATGGATCCAAAGGCACATGAAACTTCCTAAGACCCAGGGGGAGATCCCACCCCTCATCGTCAGTGCGCAAGTCGATACAGTGTCGAAGCGTACTCTCCTCTCGCAGCGACCACTGTAGCGGCCTGGTGTCATGGAGTGTGCCCATGGATGCGCCAAGAGGGACACCGCCCGCTAAGAAAGCACAAAGCTCGGGGAATCGATCACGAATTTGCTGGAACAGCGTGGCAGCAAGCATTTTGTTCAGGGCTCTGGGATAAGCCTGCGCAGGTGAGGTATCTAGCCATCCACCGTGTCGCTCTGAGGGGACAGGGGGATGTGGGCGATGATTACAAAGTGTCCCCCCCTCCCCGAGATCACTGAGCCAGGTGGCCAACGTGGGAAGATGGACCGCAAGCAAGGTGGTGGGTCTCTTTCGAGGGGCCCCAAAGCGACACTGGTGGATGGTGTGAGTCCGTACCCTTTCCAAGAGACTTAAATCCTTGACCTCAGGGAGAAGCCATATGCTTGGGCTGCCTGGTACATAGTCCGCATGTGCTGGATGGGAGAGGAGAGCAGGAACATGATATTTCCAACACACATATAGTAGAGAGAGAGCAGCACGAAGAAGTTGGTTGCCTGTGGTGACTCTCCTCCTCCTCCTCCTCCTCCTCCATTCCTTTTCCTTATAAATGATGTCTCCCTGTCGCGCCCCGAAGCCCGTGTTTAGGGCGGGCCGGGCGTTTCGCCTAAGACTTCCTAACCATTTGTGGCCCTAAATCAAAAATCCACAACCGCTTCACACAGGAAAAGCGGCTGGTTTTCAAGTTGCAAAGGCTTCGTGGATTGAGGGCGGGTGGTTTTCAACATGTGGCTCTCGCCTTTACGCCGCGCACATTCATCTTAAACATTTTGGAAGACCTTCACGGATCGAGGGCGGGTCGTTTTCGACATGTGGTTATCGCCTTAGCGCCGCGCGCATTCGTTTTGAGGAGTGAAGGCGGTTCCTTTTTCAAAATGTGGCTCTCGCGCACATTCGTTTGTAAGACTTGCAAGAGTTTCGCGGATACCCAAACCCAGGACTATGAGGGCGCAACAGTTACGTTGATTCGCGGTGTTGAAATCCCAGGAATGGCGTTCTGGCACGAGTCGGGATCGTCAAGACGCAACAGTCAGGTTGAACCGTGGCGTTTAAAACCAGAGAACAATGTTTGAGCACGCTTCAGGGTCTTCAACGGTTGTCTTCCAACGAGGCAGTTCCTTCAGCAAGAATGAACCGTAGTGGGGGGCATATGAAGCGGGAGTTCAGAAGGAGGGTGTTGATTCCAACATCGTTGAGACATCCTGGGTTCACATTCGTCCTCCTCCTCCTCTTCCTCCTCCTCCTCCTTCGCCTCGTCTGTCCTGTTCTGTCGCCAATGTGTTCCTCGCCCTCGCCCCCCCCCACGCTAATCCTCGCACGTCATGTTCGCTGCCCCCTCGATGCTTCCCGTCCACCTCTTCCTTTTTCTACTTATCCTTGTCCTCCTCCTGCTGTTCCTCATTATCATCTTCTTTCTCCTCCTCCTCCTTCCTCCTCCTCCCCCTCCTCCCCCTCCTCCTCACTGCGTGTTCCTCTTCCTCCTCCGTTTCCTCGTCCTCCTCCCCCTCTTCCACCACGCTCCTCCTCCTCTTCCCCCTCCTCCTCCACCTACGTCCCCCTCCTCCTCCTCCTCCTCCTCCTCCTCCTCCTCCTCCTCCTCCTCCTCCTCCTCCTCTTCCTCCTTACCCGCCTCCTCCTCCTCCACCTCCTCCAGCTCCTCTTCTTCCTCTTCCTCCTCCCCCTCGTGCCTCCTCCTCAGTTCTCTGCCTCGTTCCTCCTCATGTTCCTTCCTCTTCCCTCCGCCTGTCCCTCCTCCTCCTCCTTCTCCTCCTCCTCCTCATCATCACCATCGCTTCTCCTCATCCGATCTCCTCACGTTTCTCCTCATTGTCCTCCCCCTCCACCTCCTCCTCCTCCTCCTCCTCCTCCTCCTCCGCCTCCTCATCCACGTGTCCGTTTCCTTTTCCCTCTCCTCCTCCCCCTCCCCTCCTCCTGTTCCTCCTCCTCCTCCTCCTCCCTCGCAACCTCCTTCTCCCCTTCCTCCTGCGCGCGAAGTACCGTGCGATGAGCGCGCGAGCCTGCCGCCGCCGCGGGGCGGGGCAAACCCGCCGCCCTCTCCCTCTCCCTCTCCCTCTCCCCCTTTCCCTCTCCCTCTCCCTCTCCCTTTCCATGTCCCTTTCCGTGTTCCCTTTCCCTGTTCCTTTCCCGTTCCCGTTCACGGTCCCACTTCCTGTCCATTTCCCTTTCACTTTCCCGTCCCCGGTTCCCTTTCCCTTCCCCTTGCCTTTTCCCTTTCCCTTTCCATTTCGATGTCCCTGTCCCTGCCCCTTTCCCTTTCCCTTTCCGTTTCCCTTCCCCTTTTCCCTTTCCCTTTCGCTCTCCCAGTCTCTGTCTCTGTCCCTGTCCCTGTCCCGTTCCTTTTCCCTTTT